ATTTATTAAAAAATATTGTTATTAGCCAGTAGACAAGCCAAATATTGCAGCACATTGTGTCTTTAAATAGATAGATAACCCTTGGCAGGCGGTGGTGGCACACGCCTTTAATCATAGCACTCAGGAGGCAGAGGCAGAGGTGGATCTCTGTGAGCTCAAGGCCAGTCTGGTCTACAATGCAAGTTCCAGGACAGTCAGGGCTGTTACACAGAGAAACCCTATCTCAAAACAACAACAACAACAACAACAAAATAAATAGCCCTTGATAAAATGAATTTCAACAATCCATTTGACACATCTTTTCACTTTGTAATATACAAGCAGTCTCAAAAAAGCATGCCAGGGGCTGGAGAGATACCTTCGTGGTTAAGAGCACTGGCTGCTCTTCCAGAAGATCAGGGTTTGAGTCCCAGCATCCACATGGTGGCTCACAATCATCTGTTAACTCCGGTTCAGGGGATTCAATGCCCTCTTCTAGGGTACCCGCTGCAGGTACCAGGCACTCAAGGGAAGCACAGACACACATTCAGACACCGTACACATAAATTAAGTAAAAACAAACATAAAGTATGAGCTGGGTGGTAGCAGTGGTGCACACTCGCCTTTAATCCCAGCACTTGGGAGGCAGAGGCAGGCTGATCTCCAGGATGGACAGAGGTACAAAGAGAAACCTTGTCTCAAATCAACAACGACAGCAAACAAAACAGCATTGACTCAAGGCACAGTGGCACACATCTGTAATCCCAGCACTTGGGAGGGAGGTGGAGGCAACTCCCTCCTCTCTAAGGAAGAATCCGATCCTTTGGCTTCCTATAGGGTCTGCTGTTCCCTTAAGCTCTGCTCAGGGTCTGGTACATAATAGGTGTGGACAGAGCTCTATCTCAGTAGTTCCTGTTATGAAGCCCTGGCTCCCCATGTGATGGATCTGGAGGTTGGGCTTGAGGATGGTCATTAGGTTCAGATGAGGTCATGAGGGTGGGGCTCTGTCTTACATCAGTCTCCATTACAAAATACTATGAACAGGGTGGCTTATAAACAGGAATTCATTTCTCACAGGCTTTGAGGCCAGAAGGTGCCAGCATGGCTGGACTCCCTTGAGGACCGAATTCTGGCTCACTGAATGCTAACTTCTGACCCTAATCTCACAACACTGGGGAGTCTCTTGCATAAGGGCTCTACCCTGATGACCTTATCACCTCCTAAGGTCCCATCTCCTAATGTCACCTCAGAGGTTACAGTGTCAGCATATAAATCTTATAGGGCACGCAATTCATTGATGGATCCCATCTTTTGCAGGAAACCCTCTCTTTATACTGCCTGTAATTTCTGGATTCTTTGCCAAAATCCCACATCCTTGGTGGCAAGTTTTAGTTAGTGTTTTGTTTTGTTTTGCACTGAGGTAAAACAGTTCCTGAAAAGGAACCTTGATCTACTTGGTGGTGGTTTCTTGTAGCAGTGAGCCTTCTGGATATGGTTAGAGAAGGCTGAGATCGATTAGCAATGCCTGTCATGGCTGTTGGAGGGACAGGTAGAGGTACCTGTGCCAACCTGGCTTAAAAGATGTTATCTGTTTTTCTTTTGGCTTTGTTGTTGTTGTTCTTCTGGGTTTTTGAGATAGGAACTTGTATATCTCAGGCTGACATTTAACTCATTATATACCTGAATTCCTGAATATTCTAGAATTCCTGATCCTCCTGCTGCCCCCTCCCAAATGCTGGTATTATAGGCACGAACCATCATGAATGCAGTGAAGCATGGACACTGGGTGCCAGCAACCGTGACTCTAAGCAATACATACTTGTGGCCCCCTCCTCAAGGAACACCCGGCTTCTGTGGGTGTCGATGAAGAGAATGGTGGGAGTTAAGAGACAACAAAAGTCCACTGCTCTGTGACTACAGAGCCTGAATCCTGCCCAAGCCCAGATCAGAGCAGTAGGACTGTCACCACACGGGACTCTCAGCAGAGTTGTGATCCATTTCCACAAACCTAAGTCCAGCACCGTGTTAGGTACTTGGGGAGGAAAACAGAGTGCTGTGAAGCCCATGTCCAAGGTGTTGCCATTTTCCCAGGAACACCACTGGCCATGCAGTGAGTAGGCAGGGAGTCCAGAACATCAGGACAAGGACAGCTGGACCCAACAGGCAGGTAAGGAAGGGGTAGAGCTTTGGCCTTGAAAGACAGCTGTGCACACAGCTTTAGCAGTGTCTGGCTAAAAGCTTGAGGGCAGTGGAGGAGGATTTAGGCTTCAAGTGGAGGGCTGCAGTGGAAAAGGCCAGGACCATAGACATGGGGTACAGGAGTCAAACCAAGCCTCCACACTGCAGAGCTGAGGGCCCAGAGGACTGGCACTCAAGCCAGCGATGGGGTCTACAGGGCCAGGAAGGTGGCCCCGGAACAAAAGTCCATGGCAGAGACAGCAGGGACCCAGATCACTGTGGCAAAGCCAGTAACTGCCACACAGGGCCCCACATTCCCACTGCCCCCCGCAAATACAGTCCATACTGGGAAGGAAGGTGGAGGGCCCCACATTCCCACTGCCCCCCGCAAATACAGTCCACACTGGGAAGGAAGGTGGAGGGGGCAGGTGGGGTGAAGAAACAGGTGCATGAAGGTCCCCGAAGCCAAAGGTACTGGTGTGAGTGTTGAGATAGGGGCCTGGGCAGGAGGGCAGGGAGGGTGTGCCAGAGACAAACTCCAAAAGCCAAGGCCGGTGTCCTACTTTGCTTTTCCTGCTGTGATAAGACACCGGCCAAAACCAACTTGGGAAGAAAGGGTTTGTTTGGTTTCCATGTCCCAATCACAGTCCATCGTGGATGGGTCCAAGGCAGAAGCCAGGGCAGGAACCACAGCGAAGGCCATGGAGGAACACAGTTTACGGGCTCGTTCATTTCATGTTTTTATAGGACCCAAGACTACCTGCCTAGGCTGGCACCGCCCACAGTGGGCTTGACCCTTCCGTAGCAATTAGCAACCAAGAAAATGCCCCACAGGCTAATCCCCACAGGCTAATCCGAGGATGACAATTGCTCAGTTAAGGTTCTCTCTTCCCAGGCGACTCTAATTTGTGTCAAGTTGTCAAAAAACCAATGACCCCTGTCAACCTGACACACAAACACATCACTATTAAAGCATAACCTTCAAGGTTTTTTGTTCCCAAGATCTCATGCTAATACTAAGATCAAAATATAAAATATGGTCCAACTTTTAAAAGTCCCTCTGTCTTCAAAAATTCAGTTACTTAAAAGTTCAATATCTCTTTAAAATACTCAAAGTTGGGGCTGGAGAGATGGCTCAGAGGTTGAAAAATACTTGCTGCTCTTGCAGAGGACTCACAGCTGTCTCTAACTCCAGTTCCAGAGGATCCAACATCCTCTTCTAACCTCTGAGGACACCAGACACATTCACAGTACATATGAATACATACATACCTACATACACACACACACACTGCAATATATATGTGCCCACAAACATACATCTTACACACATATGCAATAAAAATAAATAAATAAATTTAAATATTCAAAGCCATAACTGTGGACTCCTATAAAATCCAAAATAAATCACATATTTTCTTATTCCAAAAGGGAAGAACCAGGGCACAATTATAATCAGATCAAAGCAAACCCCAAATCCAACAGTGTACAAAGCTCAGTCTCTGACATTTGAGACATTCATGATCTTCTGGGCTCCAAAGGGCTTGGGTGGTTCCATTTCCCTGCTCTGCCATTTCTGACATGCACAGCTAGTCTCAAAAGCTCAGGCCAGCTCCGCTCCACCCCTGCTGCTGTCGCTGGTGGACATCCCACAGTCCTGACATCTCCCGTATGCTGGGGTCTCCACTGTAACTGAGGCTGTCCCTGTACCAGTGTCCTCCCCAGGCCTCTTCAGGACTCTCACACCTGGTGCTGTGCCTCAGTTTATTTCCATGAGCCCTTCAGTCCTAGGGTCTCCACTGGAACTGAGGCTGCACCTCCGCCAGTGGTCCCTCCTAGTTCCACACAGTTAGTTCCAAGCCTCGCGGGCTCCTCATTGCTCTCCATGACCCCTTCATGCCTTCAGAACCATGTGTGACTCTTTTGCATTGCCATATTCTGCTGCCTGCTTGATGTACCGCCTTAGCTTAACTCCGTAGGCCACAGTTTCTGTCTGCTGATCTTGAGGAGCTACTTCCCAGAAGAGTTTGCCTCAGCAAACTTAATCCCAGCCAATTTGTCATGCCAGCTCACCAGCACTGATTGTCCCAGTAAACTAAAGGTTTCACTTCCAGGGACCCTTAGTCCAAAATATCAAGTGTCCTTGATAGTCTTTGGGGGACTCTGAAGCTTCATAAGCCAGGTCTCCATCATCTGCACTTCTCTCAACATTCTTGTCTTCCCAAGTTCCCACCAAGAAAAGTTCCTGGAGCTGAGAGAGAGAGAGAGAGAGAGAGAGAGGTGGTGCACACCCTTAATCCCAGCACTCGGGAGACAGAGGCAGGAGGAACTCCGTGAGTTTGAGGCCAGCCTGGGCTCCACAGTGAGTTCCAGGCCAGTCAGTGCTATGTAGCAAGACCCTGTCACAAACAAACAAGCAAAACAAAAAACAAAACAAAGAAACCTCTTGAGCTGGCAAATGACCCCTCAGGTAAAGAATTTGCCATGCAAGCCGGCAGACTCAAGTTTGAGCCTCAGATCTGTATAAAGGTGGAAGAAAACAACCAACTCTCAAGTTATTCTCTGATCTCCACATGTGAGTAGTGGCACTCACACACCCTTACACTCACGTCACACACACACACACACACACACACACACACACACACACTAATAAAGTTTTTAAATAGTATTTATTATTATTATTATTATTATTATTATTATTATTATTATTATTATTATTATTGGTTTTTCCAGACAAAGTTTTTCTGTATACACTTGACTATCCTGGAATTCTCTCTGTAGACCTAGCTGTCCTGGAATTCTCTATGTAGACCAGGCTGGCCTCAAACTCAGAGCTCCACCTGCCTCTGCCTCCTGAGTGCTAGGATTAAAAGTGGTGTATGCCACCACTACCTGGCTGCATTGTATTATTTTTAATTGGGAGGCGGCAGGGCATGTGCCATAGCATACATGTAGAGGTCAGAGGATAACATGCAGAAGTCCTTCTCTCTTTTCACTATGTGGGGGGGTCTCAGGGATCAGAGTCAGGTCATCTAACTTAGCAGCAGATGCCTTTACCCGCTGAGATCTCTTGACAGCCCAAAGAACAAGTTCTTCTGGGCCAGATGTGATGGGCACACCTGTACTTCAGGCACTCAGGAAGTGATGCAGGAAGATCAGGAGTCATCCTTAGCTACAGAATGAGCTCCATGAGGCCCCCCATCTCAAAACCTAGCCAAACAAACCCCGTCTAACTTTATTTAGGTCCGTGTTCCAAACTTAGTGAGCCGTGGACCGCTGGGAACATCCAGCCTACTGAGATGCTGTCCTGCAGGACACCAGTTTGGAAAGCACTCCGGGACTGAGTGAAGGTGGGTGTCTCTGGAGGCAGGTCCTGGGGGAGAACCCCAGCAAGTCTGATGCTTGCCAGGGAGCAGGGAGGTAGTTTGGGGCAGGTACACGTGAGGACCCCAAGGGAAGAGGAGTAGAGAGGACCAGCATGTTAGCCTGCAGAGGCCTAGGGAGCAGAGGGATGCTGGGAACTCTCACTTGAAGAGGTAGGACATGGGGGAGCAGTGATGTGACCAGGGGTGGGAGGAGTTTTCATTTACTGAAGTTTCCATTCACTGTAGCACCCTTTCCCGATGGTAGAATGGAAGTAGTGATGCGTCCCGTGGCCTCCTTGAGGACAGACACCTTCTGGGGTGAATGACTCCTGAGGGCAGGAAGACGTTCAGTTCCAGTTATGTGCAGATTGTGTGATTGTAAAATCGACAGCAGTTGTCCAGTGCCTCGGGGCCGAACTCCAAGCTGGTGCTGAAAATACCACAAAGGCCACAGTAGGGTATCCAGGCCACTTCTGCAGCAGCTGATAGACTGTGCAGCCCTGGGAAAGTCGCTCTACGTCTCTGGTCCACCTTTCCTCCCCAGCCTTGGTCTTTAAGCCTTCATACGCCCCCCACACCCTCATTCCACACCCCCTATCCCCCCTAACCCCAAACTAGTAACAGCTGCTGCAGACATAACATTCCTCCTACCCTGCCCCCAGTGCCGAAAGCAGGAGGGTACTTGGGTCTTCTGCTCTGTGACTCTTGCAGCTCCAGGTCAGCCACCACCCACAGCCCGGGCGCTCGCTCACCTCTGGAAGACCTGGCCACAGCACTGGTACACCTCAAAGCTGCTGCTGCTGAGGGTCTGGTTCAGAAGGGACACACAGTCCACCTGGACGCCCCTGGGCACGTAGAGGACCCCTGTGGAGGGAAACAGCTTAGAGGCTTGGCCTAGCCGACCAGCCCTGCCTGAGAGGGGCTTAGAAAACCAGGCAGGCCGAGTTCTGAGCCTGCTGGAGCAGCACTCACCTGCCACACAGGCGTTCATCAGGGACACGAAGGCCCCGGTGATCAGCGCCCGGAGCACAATCTGGGAGAAGTCACTCCTCCGATGGGGGACCAGGGAGGCTTCAGAGGACATGAGAGCTTAGAGCCAAGGAGGCCTCCCACCCGCCCACCCCTCTGCCTACCTCTTGAAACTCTAGCACCCCCCTCCTCTGCTGAGTGGCAGGAGGGCAGAGGTGGCCCCTCATTGTCCTCTGGCCTACTGGGAAGCATTCAGTGATGTCTCCTTCACCCTACCCACTATAGCAAGAGAAGGAAAAGAAGTTAGCTTCTCTCTTTTCTTTTTTTAATGAGACAGGGTCTCTCATAGCCCAGGCTGGCTTTGAACTCCCTATGTAGTCAAGAATGATCTTGAACTGCTGATCTTCCTGCCTCTGCCTCCCGAATGTCGAGATGCTGGGCACGAGCCACTGTGCCCAGTTGATGTGGTACTGGAGATTAAACACAGCCTCCAGCATGCGAAAGCAAACACTCTAAGCGACTGAGCGACATCCCCAGCCTTGGGGTATGTATGCTGTCGTTTGTTCTGTGACAAGGTCTCATACAGCCCAGACTGGGCCTGAGTCACGATTCTCCTATTTCAGCCTCCTGGATGCTGCAAGGACAGGTGTTTGCCACTATGCCCGGCTAGGGAGCTGAGTTTGGGGTGCGGCACATTGAGGACTAAATACAGGCCGAGCCATTTCCTGGCTGACACTTCACTTCTCCGACACACAGTTCCACTCTCTCTAAACCGGGCCAACTGCACCTTGAGGGCTGCTGTGCCCATCTGTGCAGAGCCACATTCACGAGGGGCCTTCCTCTCGCTGGCTCCGAGGGCACAGTGTGAGGCAGAGGTGAGCCAGAAAACTCACATTTCAGGGGAAGAAAGTGGGGGAGCAGGAAGGGGACAGGGTGAGGGTGTCCTTCACTTACCTATGACCTCCCTCCCTTTACACTGCCCATTGTCTCCATCACCCCTTCCCAACCATCCCCTAGGAATCCTCCTGGCTCCTGGCTCCTGGCTCCTGGGTGCTTCAGAGCCCAGGGACTCACTCAGGCCTCCCAGCATGATGCCGATGGAGCTGAAGTTGGAGAATCCGCAGAGGGCATATGTTGTCAGGATTTCTGCTCTGACCTGGAAATACAGATTACAAGGAGGCCTCAGCCCAGGCAATAAAGCCTCCCTGGTTTGTTTGTTTGTTTGTTTGTTTGTTTTTTGGTTAATCGAGACAGGGTTCCTCTGTGTAACCGCCCTAGCTGTCCTAGAACTAGCTCTGTAGACCAAGCTGGCCTCGAACTTACAGAGATCTCCTGCCTCTGCCTCCCAAGGACTGGGATTAAAGGTCAATTCCTTTATGGCCTTAGCCTTGGCATCCTCCATGATACTCCTTTGCCAGCCTCATACACGCACTCTAGGTCAGCTCACACTTCTAACTTCAAAGACTCCACCCCCTCTCAGCTGTCCTTCAGTCTGTAGCTTAAATGCCCACCTTTTGTTTTGGTGACAGGGCCTCAAATAGTCCTAAACTGTCCTCAAGCTCGTTGTGTAACTGAGGATGACTTTGAACTCCTGATCTTCCTGCTTCTACCTCTGAAGTTACGGACAGTAATATACACTACCATGCCCAGTGTGTGGGGTGCTGGGGATTGAACCCAGGGCTTCATGTATGCTAGGCAAGCACTCTATCAACTGAGCTACATCCCCAGCCTAGTTACCAGCTTTTGGGGATCTGATTCAGGCAGGTTCAGTGTGCTGAGGGCAGTCCGAGGATAGCCCTTCTCCCAGCTCTGCGGTCTCTTGCTTCTTTCTGGTCCCTGCAAATACCTAAAAGCCCAGACCTCAATCTAGGCACCGCCAGGCTGGAGTGGGTGGTCTGCTGCCGACAGCCATTGGGAGTCCAACCTGCCTGGCTTCCCGGCTTGTGATCAGCTCCTCCACTGTGATCAGCCTGAGCAAATCTACAGCCTCTTTAGGTTTCAATTTCTACATCTGGAATGTGGAAATAACAGTGCTTGCCTGGCGAGGCAGTCACAAGGCCCATGTAGTATACAGGAAACGCCAGGTATACAATAGGTGATTAAGCAAAGTGGTTCTTCTCCCATTGTGCTGTGAACAGCTGTCTAATTTTCCAGAAAGAAATGTCAAGAGCCCAAATGAAACACTTAGGAAGAAAAAAAAAACAAAACTGGGTGCCATCATAAAGCTTCACACCATAAAGCTAATTTTAGAGCACTGAGAGCAATAGGAATTTGAAGCATAAAATGTTAGGACATGTATGACAATAATGACTATATTTACACGGTAGTATTACTATACTCCTCTGGGGGTGAACTAAATAAACGGAAGCTCAGAGAGATAAGTAACTGGAAGTTCGTATATCCAAAAGACAGCGGTGCCAAAATTTGAATCAGCCCTGTCTGATCAGCTCACGGTCTTAACTATTATGTCACATTGTTTCAGGAATTTAATCAGGGCTCTCCAGATCACCTCCTAAGAATTAAAAAGAGAGAGAGAGAGGAAAAAGGAACCAAGGAGAAAGATTTGGTATAAAAATTGATGTTTAAAAAATTAAATTCTTTCAAAAAAAAATGAAACTGAGAAAAAATAGAAAACCCTAACAGAACCCAGGCCTGGAGGCTTAGGCCTTATAATCCAATCAGGAGGAGGGAAGAGGACTGTGGATTAAAGACTTCCCTGGTTAACTTAATGAGACCCTGTTTCAAAACAAAGGGCATTTGTAAAGGTAAGAAAGCTTTCTTGGGGGCTGGAGAGATGGCTCAGAGGTTAAGAGCACTGGCTATTATTGCAGAGGTCATGAGTTCAGTTCCCAACAACCACATGGTGGCTCACAACCATCTGTAGTGAGATCTGGTCCCCTCTTCTGGCATGCTGGCAGAACACTGTCTACATGATAAATAAATAAATCTTAAAAAGAAAAAAAAAGAAAGCTTTCCTGGAACTCGCATCATGGCCTTGAACCTCTGATCCTCCTGCCTCCTTAACTGGGCATTGGGATTGCCAGCACGTACCACCACACCTGGAGTTTATGCAGTGCTGGGGACCGAACTCGGGGCTTTGCGCATGCTATTCGAACACTCTACCGAATGCGCTACACCCGGAGCCCCCAAACCTGGTTTTAAGTACAGACTTCCGATGCTGCTTTGTTTCTGGCGGTGGCTTTGTTTCAGGGAGTGTGACTAGGTGGCACTAACCACCACAGGATGATTAGGAGAGCTGCTGCAGGCAGACTCTGCATGGGGTTCTGCTCCCCCACAGCTGAGGGAGCTCCTGAAGAATGACCCAGGAGGCAGGGAACGTTCTACATGCCGTGATATTCCTTTCAACATCGTCATACATACAGCCAAATAAGGAGTTGGGATGAATGACCCAACGGCGGCACAAGACTAGTAAATACGAAAGACACTCACAGCTGAGTCTGTGAGGTGCCTCAGCGGGGAAAATGTCTGCCGTAGAGGCTGACAAGCTGAGTTCAACCATATGTGCAACACGCACATGCACACACACACACACACACACACACACGCACACGCACGCACGCACGCACGCACGCACACGCATACTGAAATAACTATTATCAAATATTTTAAAGATACATTAATTTTGGAGCCGGGTGTGGTGGTGAATACCTTCAATCCCAGCACTCAGGAGGCAAAGGCTAGCCTGGTCTACAGAGGGAATTCCAGGACAGCCAAGACTACACACAAAAGCCCTGTCTCAAAAAAAAATTGGGGGTGGGTGGGTGGGCGCGCAAGGGGGGAGCCAGGGTCCACACATAAATTTCAAATGGTGTGTAGCTCAGTTTTAGCATACACAACAAGGGCCTGGTTCAATCTCCAGCACTGAAAACAAAAAGCTACATGCGTCAGTCATAAAGACAAGGGGAGAAAGCTGAGTACCGTGTTCTGCCAACAGTAACTGAAATTCTGTCTGAAAAAACAAAACAAAACCAAAGAAGCTGCTCCTGGAGGCTCACACCTGTAATCCCAGCACTCGAGAGGAATCAAGAGTTCAGGGCCATTCTTCCATGTATCTTTGGCCAGCCTGGGCTACATGAATCCCTGTCCCCCCAACAACATGTGCAAAAGAAGAAAATGGCTGGAAGAGCAATAGCTGTCATCTTAGCACAGTGAGATTATATACAGTTTTTGTTCCCAACAGTATGTTCTGACTTTGTATTCTTTTAGAGAGACTAATGCCAGAGCCCTTGTATCATTTTGTTCACGGTGGTGTTTTTAGAATAAATGTCAACAAAAAAAGCCAAGCCCTAGACTGCGCACGCACCGTGTAAATCATCGGGGGCTGTGGTGGAGGGTCTCCTAGCTCACTCACTCTTGGAGCTCACTAGACTCTCCCACGTGCTCCTTTGGGGAGCGGTAGCGGGTATTACACCCCTGTTTTCCAAAAGAGAGGCAAGGCGCAGTAGCTTCCCCAAGGCCAAAGCAACTGTGGCCCCTCGGGAACTCGGTCTCAGACAAATCTCTTCCAGGAGCCCACAGTGAGGCCCTGACATCTGTCTGGCCTGCCAGGATAGCAGGATATGCGTGGTTAAGCACCACCTCGGTGTGGTTCAGGCAGGCCCGGGGAAACACACTAACAGTTGCCAGGGGCCCGAGGGACGCTGCGCCATGCCGGTGCCGCCGCCGGGAAGAAATGCGGCCCTCACCGAGATCCACTGTTTCTTGCCCCCGAGCCACTCCTCAGCCCCCGCCAGGCGTCTCTGCTTGTACTGGGAGAGCTCTTGATAGGCCACAAACTCATTCAGAAACAGCTTGATGCCCAGCAGCTCAGCCACCACCGGACAGTCCTCCCAGGCCACGCCCATCAAGAAGGCCACGGGCCGCAGGATGTAGGAGCAGATGAGCTGCAGATAAAAGGGGCAAGAGAAGTGGGTCAGGCAGAGGGCTCATGCGGGTCTCCGTTTCTCATTGCCTAGCCTGGGACCATTCCCGCCACCACAGCCACACCTGGAAGCTGAGTCCCTGGATATCCACCATGTCCCCCAGCCAGGAGAGGGCGGCGTTGATGAAGGCCAGCACAGCCAGGAAGGCGATCAGGTTGGCGGCGATGTTGGCAACGACCTTCACGGAGATGGCGGCCCCAGCGCTGGCCGCCTCCACAAGGTTCTGAGCGTCTCTGCCATTGGGATCAAGAGGTGTCATTACGCACAGGAAAGGTCCCCACCGTGTAGGTTCAAAGAGGAACCTTGGACAGAGGGCCTCAGAACCAAGGAGCCTTGTTCTCGTTCTGAGATAGGGAGAGAAAAGATCTTCAAGGGGGTGGGGGTGGGGCACTGCTGATCAAGGAATGAGAAAATACCCAGGGTTCTGGGCTGCGCTGCAAGCCAGGAGTTGACAGTTCAGTGAGTCTCTGGCTGCTGGAAAGGGCTGGCCGCAACCAAGCTGTGTTGAAAATTCAGTCAATACCACTGTGGTCAACACCACTCACGTTCTGAGGAGTTGAGACGAGGGAGGGAGGGAAGGAAGGAAGAAAGAGAGGAAAATATCTTAGCTTTTGTTTTATTTATTTTTATTTTGTTTTTGTTTTTGGGACAGGGTCTCTCTATGTAGCCCTGGCTGTCCTAGAACTCATTATATAGACCAGGCTGGCCTAGAACTCACAGAGCTCCACCTGCCTCCCAAGTGCTGAGATTAAAGACGTGCCCCACCACATCTGGCTTCATTCATTACTATTTTTATTAATCACATGATGAACATGTTTTTGATATACTGGTTTGAGCAAAAGATTTTATTAAGAGCATCTGTTTCTCTTTATTTTTAAAAAGCCTCCAAAAGCCGGCCATGAGTGCACACACCTTGAATCCCAGCTGATCTCTGTAAATTTGAGGCCAGCCTGGTCTACATAGTGAGTTCCGCCAGCTATGTCTGAAAAAGAAGACGCTTGCTGCCAGGGCTGATCACCTTGGTCTGATGCTTGGGAGCCACATGGCAGAAGCAGAGAACCAACTTCCACGAGAGTTGGTTGGAACCAGCCTGTTTTCAAGAGGCCGGAGATACACTGAGCTATCAGTTCCTATCTTGCAGCCTCTTCAGAAACCTGAGTCCTTTCTCAGTTCTGTGATCAGCAGACCCTTTCCCTCTTGGAGTTCTTTTCTTTCTCTGTCTCAGAAAGAAAACGAGGTTCCTCTGAATGTCCTGTCACCTCCACACAAGTGCTGTGGCACACGCGCGCGTGCGTGGACCCACTCATATACACACACAGTAAATACATGAAATGCAGTAAGAAGATGTCTAGGGCTGAGGAGATGGCTCGGTGGTTAAGAGATCTTGCTGCTTGCAGAGAACACAGGTTCAGTTCCCAGACCCCACCTGGCAGCTTATAACTGTCCCTAATTCTAGTTCCGGGGATCTGTTTCCTTCTGATCTTCAAGGGCACCAGGCACACATGCAGTACACTTACATACATGTGGGAAAAACCAGTCATAAGCCTTTAAGTGTGTGTGTGTGTGTGTGTGTGTGTGTGTGTGTGTGTGTAAAGATGTTTA